TTATTAGAGTATGTTAGGCATATCAAACAGAAAATGATATAATTTCATATCTGTATGTCACAATTTATATTATAAAATTACATGAAGTTCTAAATCTATAAAATATAAGTGACCTATAGTGTCAAAATTTGCATCTTGGTTTTAATTGGCTGTGGGGTAAAATATCATTGATCTGGTATACATGAAGGAAATTTTAAAGGATATTATAAGCCTCCAACAAAATTATCGATCTCATTGCCCTCTAACATAGAATAAAAAAGAGAGTATAAGAATTAAAGCTAAATCAAAATATACAATAGAATTTAATGAAAATAGAACATACATTTATTTATTTATTCACTTGACACACATTTATGCAGGTGTGCCAAACACTGAAGAAAGGGCTGAGATTTACTATTCATAATCTTATTTTAACAAGCTATGATACCATTGTTTTTTATAAGAAACAGTGAAACTCCACCCAGTGATAATATATTTGTAGAAATAATGCTTCATAGGTACAGAATCTTATTTGTCTCTTTTCTCCAGTGGAGAATCACAAAGCAGAAAGAAAAACAAAACTTTTACTTTTGAGTTTATAAAAATCAATCCATTGTCTGTGTTTACATGTGTGTTTGGCTGCATGAATGCATGTGTGTATTTAAGGGTGAGTGAGGGCAGTCATTATGTGAGAGAAAATGCCACCCTATTTTGTAGTATGTTGGTTTATTTTAATTCAGTGTGAACTTTCAGTAGATACCTCTTTATGATATTAACAAGTGGTATTTAAGAGTCTATCTCTGCCAACTTCAGAAATTCTTGGAGGAAAGAACATTGCTCTGTTCTACCCACACAATCAAATTCACTTTTGCTAAAATGTATACAAACTCATGGATGTGTTTCTAAGTTTTATGAAATAACTGAATTATCAATTCATGAAAGACACTCATGTGTAGATTAGTGTTTTGCTACAACTAAGACATTCTTCAAAATGATTTTCATTTTTATACACCAAAATATATTTCACATACAAAAGGGTTAAAATTTTCCATTTCTATAAAAGTCTCTACAGTAATATAAATTTTTACTAATCACTATGTTAAAAATGAAAATTTCTAGTGTACCTCAGAAGGCAAAGCTATGTAAGAATGGTTAAAGAAAAATATGAAATGACCCTGTCTGATAACATCAAATTATGTTATTTTATATTTAAAATTATTATTTACTACAGTATAAGAATAGATATAATTATATTTATTCTTAAATTATTCAATAATTTTAGGAGCATTGAAGGTTTTGAAAGAAAAGTGATGAATGAGGAAGTTAACAAATCCATAGGTGTGCCTGCTAAGCCTCTGAATGAAAATAAAACATTTCTGAGGATAAAGTTACTAAGTGAAATAAATATAATGTCATTCCTATTCAAGAAATGGACACTGTCAGTAATGTAAATTCATTAGGAATTGACTTTGATGGCCTTTCTACTCTTAGATTAATTCATCATTTTCCTGAGACACATCAATTACCACTCTGTCACATGAGCTTTCTGAAAATGACCCATTATGTGACCTGAAGGAAGATACTTAGTCGCCAGAACGTTTTAAGAAAACAAGCCTCCAAAAGGCTCCATGAGAGGCATGATGACTAGTTCATGGGGCTTTCCCCAGTAGAATATTGACCACTTTTTCCAATAGCATTTCACTTCAAAAAGTATTATTTGGAATGGAGAATACGGAGACTGTATATCAACAGAATGTACAAAACTTCATGTCACTGAATAAAGTGAGTAAAGCAAATCAGCATTTATAGACATTATTTTCAGAAAAATAGTTGGGAGTTACAATTCTACTTTTTATTTATGACAGCAAAATCAGGACATATTTTGATTATTTTGTTATGTCCTCTCACTTTATAGTGGGTACTAATTACACTTTTCCCTTCTTTTTCCCTCATTTGTCTTCTCTCACCCTCTCTTGCTCTCTCCTCTTCTCTCTGTCCTCTTAAAAGTTCCTGGAAGTGAACAAAGGGAGGAAGGGAGGTGGAAATAAAAGCTCAAAAAGAGATCAGAATTGGTGAAGTCCTTAAACTTTTTTCTTTTTCTTTTCACCAAGCCCTGGTGAAGATGTTCTTTTCTTAACCTCAGGATTTATGGGGTGTCTTGAAGCTTACTTCTCTGTGTCTCTCATAGGCGTGGTCCCATCCCTCATATATCATACTGATTAGTAATTTTCCAATCTGTTCATTTAAAGTTCAGATGTACTGCTGTTTTTTTTTTAATTGTAAAAAACTCTGATGCACACATAGCCTTAACATAGGACATAAAAACAACCACAAGATGGACATTCATATGATGATGAGATCATTTATGTTAAGGAGAATCTTTGTCTTTAACAGTGCAATTTAAAATTAAAAGATATTTTCTTTAAGAATCTATTCCCTATAATACTAAAGCCAAAACATATGCAAAAATCTTTGCAAAATATAGCACTATGTATTTCAAATATACATGTGAAATTCCTCCCATCTTGTATAATAAGGACTTATAGAAAATAATCATCAAATAACGAGAATGTTAAAGTTTAAAAAATTAACACAATTTACTGATATGGAGATTTCTATGAATACCAGGTAATTTTGTGTCTGTCATAGACATTTGTTAAATGTGATAGATAAAAATATGATGTAGTAAGAGACCTGATAGCTCTTTTACAGACTGACAATTGAATGGTTATTATTTTATCATTTACATGCCAACACTTATTTCCACTATCTCTCTCATATATATTACTTATATTCACATAGATACATGGTACTTCTATATGATAATTATATACCTATATACACATGATATTCCTTTATGGAACTTACATACATATAAATTAGGTTTTATTAAAAGAATGTCAAAATTACAATTTAGCTTCACGTTATAATAAAATTTACACTATTCCCTGGACTCAGGCATGTTGTATGTGCAGCTCTGATTCGTTTGGCACTTGGGGGCAGAATCGTGATCCCAGTGGGGATCTCTGTGGCACCAGGAACTCTAACCTGAAGCTGCTCTATGGTAAGTAATTATTTTAGTTCATGTAGTGAGTCTGAATTCTTAATGAAGAGTGAGAATCACCAGCACTTCTTCCTGGTCATCAAGATAATATATACTGAAGGAATAGTTTTCTGATGGATGAATACACCCACTGGTTTGGTTAGGGCTTCCAGAATCTTCTCAGTTTCCAAGTTCTGTTCAGTTCTAAGCTGAAGAACTACACTTTTTCCAAGACCCCAGGTATGGACTCTGTGTCCTGTTGACAGGACACGTCAGTTGGCACCTATGCCAGTTCCAAACAGCCCCCAATCAACCCTCCTATTTCCTAACTGACGTACTTGATTATGTTATAACGTTTTGATGTAACTAGATAGGAATCAAAATGAAATAGGATGAATTACTTCATCTGTATTCCCATTCTACTTTATTCTTAGCAATCATCATGACGTACTATGGATAATAATTTATATATTTATCTCCCTCTATAGACTTTAAGCCCATTCTGGGCAAGGGTAATGACTCATTGAACTTCACATCACCCAGCTTCTACAGCAGTGAGTATAACATAAAGGCTTATTAATTCAGGTGAGTCAAACACACACAGGTATTTTGATGATCAAACTTGTTTCATAATTGAAATATTTCTGTTTCTGCAAGTAGAAAAACATAAACATGTCTCAACAGATGTTATGTGTGTCAGAACCACTATTAGGGCTGGTTTCATGTAACATTTTGCTCTAACAGAATGGGTATTTGCACTGCCAAGTCACAAAACACGAATGCAATTTAATCTTGTTTTTGCAGTTAATCTCTAGAATCACAAAATTGATATGGAATTCAATTTTTCTGGCCATTTAGCTTTTAGAGTTTATATGAGTATAACTACTTATATAATTAAAAGATATGAGCTTATCAAACTCACTTTTAACTCACTGGTAAAGAAAAGAAATGAAAAAAGAACTGCATTCAGATACTATACCTACTTTAAAGGAAGAAATAGAAACATGATGTAAATGTTTTGCAGCACGTTGACACTAAAACACACAAACTGCAACTGCCATTAAGAGATTATTTTTAAAATCTAAAAATGATTTATTAAAAAAAATTCTACCTATAGGAGTAATTTTGTCTAATGGCTTTGGGATAAAATAATTCCAAAACAACCTAAATTTCTCAAAGTCAGATTTTGAATTTAATTGCAGTTTTAACATTTATGTTAAACCCTACAAAAGCTATTTGCAACATGATGCATTGAATTGACTCAAAAATAATTTTTCTGAGACAAAAAATGAACCAGAGAAGAGTAAACAGAATTGAAACTAAATTGAAATTCTTATGCAGATCCTTACTATAGGTACTGACAAATGCCTATTACACAGTTGTTCAAGTTTATTTTTTTAAGATTCTTGTTTGTTTTTTATTTATTTATTTTTGAGACAGAGAGAGACAGAACACGTGTGGCGGAGGGGCAGAGAGAGAGGGAGACACAGAATCTGAAACAGGCTCCAGGCTCTGAGCTGTCAGCACAGAGCCCGATGTGGGGCTCGAACCCACGAACCGTGAGATCCTGACCTGAGCCGAAGTCCGACGCTTAACTGACTGAGCCACCCAGGCACCCCACACAGTTGTTCAAACTAATGGAGAAATATACTTATTTAAGAATAAGATCAATTGTTTGAAAAACGCTGGGGCAAAACTATAAAAGGAAATGTAAAACACAGAGGTCCATCCCTTCGTTTTTTTCTTCCTTTTGGAAAAGCTTGAACTGTCAGATTTGTCATACTCTAACATTTTCATACAAAATCTGTTACCCTGTTTCCATATGCATGAACAACATTACAATGAGAAAAAGCGTAAGCATTAGGTGTTAAATAGCACAAAAAGAAATATTCAGACTTGGAGGTGGGTATAAGTTAAGGCAGCATCAGGGAGGCAATGTACAGTGACTGAGAAGATTTGCTTCCAAGGCACCCGATACCTTGATTTTTTCTTGCAGTTCAGTTTGTGATGTCTTGAAGTCAGGACCCGGAGAGTTTACACTTAATACATGTTTCCTCTCCAGAAGCTCTTCCATTCCTTTCACCTGGGCCTTTAGCCTTCTATTTTCTCTTTCCAGTCCTTGTTTTTCGGTTTCAAGTATTTCCCTCTTGTCCTGCTCCAAGATATTTTCAGCTTGCAATCTCTCTAGCTGAATATAGAGAACACAAAGAAGCAACAGGGAGCATTTGTAATTACTTAAAGGCAAGGCACCCAGCAAACAAGCGCCCGCTAAGAAAGGTTCACAGACACATAGGTTTATATAATTTTTAAAAGGAACACTATATTTGCCTGAAAAGTTGTGAACTACACGAAGATCCTAAGAGCAGGCCGTACCCTAGATAAATGTAGTTTTCCTCTTGGTTCATGAGACTATTCTATAATCATACAGCCCATATTTGTCAAATAAATATGTCAAGTGAAAAACGGTAATATTCTAGCAATAATCTCCACTTAAATGATGAACATTATCCATTGGGAAGGCACAAAATAATTTCTTGGCCATTTTTCTTTTGATGTTTATTTATTATTGAGAAACAGAGAGAGACAGAGAAGGAGCATGGGAGGGTCAGAGACAGAGGGAGACACAGAAACTGAAGCAGGCTCCAGGCTCTGAGCTGTCAGCACAGAGCCGGATGCAGGACTCCACCCACTAGAGGTGAGATCATGACCTGAGCCGAAGTCCGACGCTCAACCAACTGAGACACCCAGGCGCCCCACTTCTTGGGCAATTTTGGTTGGATGGATATAGTTCACGTATTCATTCACTCATTATTTATTTACACTACCTTTACTTATTTGTTTGTTTGTTTACTATATCTTTCAAGTTCCACATATACTAGTCACTGAGAAAGACAAGGGAGTGAAACAAAATATTATAAATTCCATAATTAAAGTACTATAAAATACAGTCAATCACACAGGAGTGAGTGGCTAGTTGGATTTCCAGGGAATTAGGGGTGGGCAACCATGGCTGGGGGTGGGGGGCGAATCTGACCCATCTCTTTAGTATACTCCATAATAATGGTTTTTCATTATTTTTATAGTTAAAAACAATTTAAAAAGAATACTATTTCAGACATATTGACATTATACAAAATTCAGATTTCAGTGTCAAAAATAAAGTTGTCCTGGAAGGCAGCCATGCTCATTGGTGGACACATTGCTTATGCTTATTGTCACACTAACAACAGCAAAGTCGAACTGTTGAGACAGAGTCTGTACGAACAGCGGAGCCTAGATTATCTACTATTTGGCCCTTACCAACAAAGTTTGCTCACTACCACTTTCATCCTATGATACTCAACCAAGGCTGTACGTGAGACTGTCTTAGGGAGATGCTGATAATTGCTGGTGACTCAGAAACCCCTCTAGAAGTTTTGATTTAATGGATTTAGGGTAATTTTAATGTCTCTTTCCCTTGGCCAGTTTTTGTTGTTTTAACCTTTTTCTATTTAGATTTTAAAGAGGCAATAAAAATGTATTTATTTTATTCAGTTTCATTATGTTTAAATGTGTGCTCATTATTACAATGACATTAAATCATAATTGTCTGTTAAGGGTTTGTTGTTGTTGTTGTTGTTGTTCTGGATGTTGTACGTGGAAATGATTAGTAACTTTTTTAGCTCTCAATTCTAATCACGAGCTCTGAATTCTAATCTTGACTTCACCATTTATTATGTGGGTGAGTTCAGTCAGGCAACTTAATCTCCCCTATGTGGATAACTTATTGACTAATACCACAGGGTCTGTGAGAAGTAAAATTAATTAAATTGACAGGAAAACACTTTGCATAGCAATATTCTACGTAGAGAAGAAACACTGTGGTCATATAATTTGGGGGAAATAATTATGTACTTATGTCTCTGATATATTTGGGCATATGTATATCCAAATGTCAAAGCAATTTTATGGTATAAACCTGTATGGTGAAGGCCCTCTTCACATTAGAAAAACAAGTAGAACCTAGTCCTGATTCTGTCACTTACTCATTTTTTGGCTGATTCTGAATAAAACATTTTCTCTTTTTGTTCTTTTTTTAAAAACAAAATTCAGATAAGAACACCAGACCCACCAAATCTGTGGAATTATAAGGGCTGAATGAAATCAGTATTTGAAATGTCTTATAAACTATGTACCATGATTAAAATATGAGACATTTTTAAACTGTTAAGGATAAAAATTGGAAATTATTCATTTCTACATAGTTTTAAATGGCTTGATTGCAAAGTACTGATTAGTATTATAAAGTATTTTTCACATTTTAAATTCTAAAAGAGAGATCAACTTAAAAATGTTAGACTTCAAAAATATCTTTGAAAATGAATTTTCATTAAACATTTTAAAAATACGCTTATTCACATATATATAATTGTATCATTATTATAGAAAATACTCTGTTCCCAAATCAAAGAGTGGCTCTGGCTTCTAAAAAACAGGAAACAAAAACTACATTCTTGAGACTAGACCTTGTGTATCAACTAAATATAATAAACTAAGGGATCAAATTTTAGATGATGTGGTTTAACATGTGGAGTATCTATTTGGGGATTTAAGGTGAAAACAGTATTTCAAAATACAATTACCAACATGAGATTTCTTTAATTATTAAGGTTAATGCTTAAACTTTTTGACCATCATATCACTTATGAGAATGAAAACAATAAAGCTGAAACAAAAAATCATTAACTTACAGATGAAAAATTAATTTTAGGGGTGCCTGGATGGCTCAGTTGGGTAAGCATTCATCTTCGGCTCAGGTCATGGTCTCACGGTTTGTGGGTTCAAGCCTCCACACTGACAGGCACAACTTGGGATTCCTGCTTGAGATTGTCTCTCTCTCTTTGCCCCTCCCTGACACATGCTTTCTCTCTCTCTCAAAATAGATAAATAAGCTTTTAAGAAAATTAAAAAGAAAAATTAATTTTAGGAAAGTATGTATATTTTGGCCAAGGGGAAATATGATGGTATGTCAAGGTTTATGAAACTGTAGGCATTTAAAAGGTATTGCTGGAGTCCATTTTAATCCTAATAACAGGTAACAGGTAGAACTAAGGTTTTAAAAAAGTAATAGACTGTTTGATTGAATAAGCTCTAAATCTTTAAAAAAATATAGAAAGGAATGATTTTATCAGTTATAACAAGAAATCTTAAATAATCATGTCTGATTATTCGCTATTAGCTGCTTATTGACACAGTAATTATCTGATAAATTTATGTATGCAATGCATAGCAAAAGTGAAAAGGTTATGTAGAAATGGGAACATCATAAATATTATAAGCAGTTTTTAAAAAATTCTTTAAACATTTATTTATTTTTGAGAGAGAGTCCGAGTGGGAGACACAGAAGCTGAAGCAGGCTTCAGGCTCTGAGCTGTCAGCACAAAGCCCTATGTGGGGCTTAAACTCATGGGCTGCAAGATCATGAACTGAGTCCACGTGGAATGCTTAACTGACTCAGCCACTCAGGCGCCCCGATATTATAAGCAGTCTTATTTCTGTTTTCATTTCACAAAATGTTTTCTTATCATATTATTCTTTTCCAAGAATCATATGAAAATCGACCACATTAAAAGCCATTCAACTGAATGAATTTAAAATACCAACAAATACACAGGTATAAATTGGGCAGAGACTCATGAAGGAGGACACCTGCTGAGTGCTATGAGAAGGGCCTGCAATAAATTAGGCAAACAGAGGTTATTTGAATGAATAGTATATAAGCTGAAATCTGAAGTTTAAGAAAGCAAAGAATCAGAATCAAGGGAAGGGTGCTCCAATAAAGGAATCAGGAAATAGGTTTGCACATTATAAGAGGCAAGAGTTCAATCATGAAATATTAGGTGTGGATAGAATATGATATAAAAGGAATCTGGACACGCAGGTAGTGGCTCTGGAAAGTTAAGTGTGAACACAACAGTCATTTGAGTTGCTCATGGAAAATGTCATACTGTGATTATCTCTAACGATAGAATATGGGGTCAGTTATAAACATTTTTATTTACTCACTCAATATTCACCAATTATTATTCCTTACTACTTTTGAAAAGACATCAAAGATCCCAATCAGTGCAATAACTAGAATGTAGGTTTATGAAACTAGAGCTCTGCCATTTTGTTGGCGAGCTTGGGACCTGACACATGCTATGTGAGTGATCTGCGAGGAGAAAGAACACAATGGTAAGTCTCTAGGGAATAGCCTTCCTGTATTTCAATTACAACAATTAGACACAAAACAAAACTAAGAAGGCATCCTAGAAGAGCCAGTCATTTAGCCTACTGTATGTAATACCAGTAGGGTTTCCCAGATTTACTCCTAAGCCATTGCTGTTAGCATAGTTCCACTGCATTTTGTGACAGGTGAATGTAGTGACGTAAAGAGAAGCCTTCTGGGAAAATGACCTAGAGTTGAGTCCCAATTCTCTTAATCTCGAAAGCCTCCATTTTTCATTTATAAAATGTAGAAAATATTTCCTAGAGCCTCGTCTTATCAGGCAGAAATTCTATTATTTGGGGGAAATATTTATTCCAAACTCAAATATTTCAAGTGATAAATTTGTTTTCTAAAGAATAATGGCCAAATGAAATAAGGACAGATGAAAATAGTATATTTATTTTTCCTATTTTATCAAGATGATGATCATTTTGTAAATGGACCTTGTCAACTGTGAAAAGCCCCAACAGAATGCACTGTGTGGCATTCTGCAGGCTAGTGAGGAGTCACCTAAAACCAATGTGAATATTCCAATAATATATTTGCAGATATTCAGGATTTTCATTTCGGACAAGCCAGCCATAAAATCTCATTAGAAACTATGATTTTGGGAGTGAAAGGAAAAAAGCAGGTAGCTTGCTATTTCCTAGCAGTAAGATGATTACTGTTTTACTAAGGGTAATATACATTCCTGGTAAAGAACTACATAGGTTCATATCCTTATAATAATCCTGTAAGTTTGTACTTGCTATCATGAGGAAACTGGGGTCTTTAAGAGCAGAAGTAATTCTCAAGGTAGGCAAAGAGTCTAGTCTATGGTTCACTTAAAGTTCCTCTCTGATTCCAATCCTGAGCTCATCCTACCCATACCAAGCTAATAGCTAATGTACATATGTCTGCTGCAGTAGCAACCACCACATTTTCAATCCATTGTACTA